CTCGCCTGCCCTTTGTGCGCCTCGCTCGGCTCTACGCGCGCAGCCAGGGCTCCTGGCCTCAGTGCCTCCAGTCTGGGAGGAATCCTCCACCATATCCGATTTTGGCCCTCGGCCGGACCCGGGCCGCCCGCCGCACCGGCCCATGAACGACAGCCCTTTTTGCCCAGAAGGCGGGGTCTGACCTTCCAGTTCTCACCTGCCCTTTGTGCGCCTCGCTCGGCTCTACACGCGCAGCCGGGGCTCCCGGTCCCAGTGCCTCCGGTCTGGGAGGAATCCTCGACCGCATCCAAAGATGGTCCCCGGCCGGCGCGCCAGCCCACGAGCAACGGTCCTTTTCATCTGGAAGGAGGGGCCTGACCCTCTGGCTCTCGCCTGCCCTTTGTGCGCATCGCTCGGCTCTACGCGTGCAGCTGGGGCTCCCGGCCCCGGCGCCTCCGGTCTGGGAGGAATCCTTGACCGTATTTGATTTTGGCCCTTGGTTGGCCCCAGGTCGCCAGTGCGCCGGCCTGCGAATGACGGCCCTTTTCGCCCGGAAGGAGGGGCCTGACCCTCCGGCTCTTCCCTGCTCTCCATGCGCCAAGAGTTGCTCTATGCGCACAGTCGTGGCTCCTGGTCCTGGCGCCTGAGGTCTGGGCGGAATTCTCGACTGTATCCTATTTTGGCCCATGGCCGGCACGCTGGCCTGCCAACAACGGCCCTTTTCGCCATGAAGGAGGGGTCTGACCCTCCGGCTCTCACCTGCTCTCCGTGGGCCTCGCTCGGCTCTACGCACGCAGTCGGGGCTCCCGGCCCCGGCGCCTTCGGTCTGCGAGGAATCCTCGACCCTAGCCCATTTTGGCCTCCGGCCAGCCCCAGACCGGCCGGCGCGCCTTCCTGCGAAGGACAGCCCTTTTCGCCTGCAAGGAGGGGCCTGACCCTCCGGCTGTCACCTGCCCTGCGTGCACCTCGCTCGGCTCTATGCGCGCAGCCAGGGCTCCCAGCCCCGGCGCCTCCGGTCTGGGAGGAATCTGTGACCGTATCTGATTTTGGCCCCCGGCCGGTCGTCGCTCGGGCCTGCGAAGGCGGTTCCCTGGAAGCCTCAAAAATCTAAAAATCCTCCTGCCTGACAAATCCTGCGATCCCGGGATGGCCTGCCACTGGCAACCATCTTTGCCTCACGGACCAGCCACTACCTGGGAAAAAAAACCGCAGCCTAAGTAAAAAAGAAATTCCTCCAGCTAGGTTTTTTTTATTCTAAAGCTAAAATTATCTAACAACAACCTGTAAGAGAAACAACACAAACACCAGGTTAGAACTACTGCCAAACGCACAAACTTTTTCCATCCTCACACCTCAACCGTTCCGATAGCTACCAGACAGTCAGGGGTCATTGCTACACATCCACAGCCCTCCTTGGGAACGTGGTTGCCATGGAGTCTCAAAAAAAAAAAAAACCCAAGAAGGAGCAAGTTGCAGAGCCTAACAAAACACGCACGCCCCTCATGGTCGAGCACACCCCTCACAGCATTACAAGACAGTACCAAAGACAGAACACAGAAAGCAAAACTATGTAAGGTACAAAGCTATACAATTCCTAACTGACGCACAGCAATACAATGCTATGACATTCACATACAGAGCAATACAACTGCAAATATACAAGTATACCAGACAGAACATTACATGGCAATACAAGTGACACGACATAAAAAGTGCTACAAGCAAAGGCGCAAAGATATATGGTTCCTGCCACGCAGAACACGACACCGTGACGTTTGGATATGGACCGATACGACTACAACTATACAGCTATGTGATATGGAGCAGTATAACGCAATACAAATGACAACATAAACGGCTGCTGGACTTTTCCTATTCTACTTGGAAAACACAATAACTACACCTAAGAAGCAACCTGCAACACTAAATAAACATATACCATGCTCTACACATGCAGTCCAGAACTCATTGGGCAGGGACTCCCTGTGGCTCTCAGAAGATTCCATCAATGATACTTCAGTCGATCTCGCCCCGGTCGCCCAAAGTTCCGGGAAAACCGATGCCATCTTTCACCCCAGGAATCTGAGTCTCCTTTGGGTGACTGTAAGACAAAAGGGGGAGGGACTCTGAAGCATGCCTTACGTGACCTTGGACTTACCCCAAAACCGAGTCGATACATTTTATAAGGCGCAAAGAGCCCTGACAAATGCCCATACCATAGACACTGTTTGCTACACCACCTAGCTGTGACTCTATACACCCAAGCAGGGCATCGCAGGACAATCCTGCTCAGAGACTGTACAGCCATCGGCTCAACTGTCTAAGGTAACTGACATGTTGATGTGAGACTTGGAGCAATATTCCATCTACCCACTGATCCACATGGCAGGGCAGAGCAGTTCCAGGCTGACCCCAAGTGAGACATCCCGTACCTGTGACAACACAGACCGTGTGACACAATTAAGAGACAAACCTCGCTTTAAAAAGATTTGATTGCAAGAATGGAGATGCTGTGGAAAAGCATGACCTACGGGACTACCGTGATAATGTGACTAGGCTCAAAGGATCCTGAAAAGTAAAGACACTAACACGATGACCGGTCAGAAGAAGGGCCTGTCAAAACCCTGAAGATGGATGCGTGGCGTCACTGCGTTCGGAAGCTAAGAATGGAACGATGCAGAAAACAAGTTCTCCTGCTTTGTGATGGATGGCTGGAGAGCACCACTGATGATACGGCCTGGAATGAGGCCTTAAAAGAGGTCTGACCATAAAAGTCAGAGATCAGATTCCAAAGAAGGCCTGAACTTGCAAAGGAAGCGACTGACAACTTCGGTACTTGGCTACACAGAGAGGACTTTCAAGAACCTAAGGATGATGCCTGATGCTTCCCATAAGCCCCTTAAGGGCAAGATGCAAAAACCCTAAGGACACAAAACACGGACAAGATGAACAACGTGACACAGACTGGAACTGGTCTGCCCTGCACACAGGAATCCAATGATACAAAGTAAGCCCTTCCTTTGATGCGTCCAAATAACCTGTAATAGGATACCCATTGCACCAAACTAATTTCAAAAATCCCTCTGGGCAATGCACATACTTGAACCGACTCCCCACCCCATCTCTGGGTCTTTGCCCTGCACTTATCTTTCCAAGAGCTGGGGATGCAAATCCATCTCTGATGCAAAGGAGGGGTACCTGGGCTGGCTCAGAGGTTCCTGCCATCGTGAGAGTACTCGGAGTCAACTACAAGAAAGAAAACCATACACAATATCTGAGTAGTGTGGCACGTGGCTCCAACCCTGATGATCCCTCTACTCACTGTCACTGAGGCAGGTCCTTGGGTCACTGGCTCTGACCGGATTTGGACAATGTGCTGTCATCTTCTGGGATACCTGAGTGAGCGAGAGACAAAATTAGAGGGCATTTCTAAAGCTGTGGTGGATCCCTGCTCCTCCTGCTGCCTCCCCGACTCACCTCCAATGCCCGGACGCTCCCAAAGGTTACCTGGATGGCATCTGCAACCACTAAAGCTCAGCGCCTCGTTGCTCATCCTTTTCATGCTCGGAGATTGCAGACGAGGACAGCTCGAGGCGACCAAACCAGGTCAGTCGTCCCATTGGGAGGTGGTTCCTGCGGTCACGAGGTTACTCCGAGTCAACTACGAGAAAGAAAACCACAAGCAATATGTCAGTTGTGTGGCATGGGGCTGGAACCCCAATGATCCCCCTACTCACTTTCACCGAGGCAGGTCCTCAGGTCACTGGCTCTGACCGGAGTTGGACAATGTGTTGTCATCTTCCGGGATACCTGAGCGTGTGGGAGACAAAATTAGAGGGCATTTCTAAAGCTGCAGTGGATCCCAGTTCCTCCTGCTGTCTCCCCAACTCTCCTCCAATGCTCATCTGCTCCCAAAGATTAGCTGGATGGCACCTGCAACCAAAAAAGCTCAATCCTTCATTGCTGATCCTTTTAATATTCGGAGATTACCTACAAGGACAGCTCGAATGGACCAAACCATGTCTGTCGCCTCGTCATGAGTCAGCTTTGGCCCTGTGAGGCTGCGTACATCTCCTGCAAGAAAACCCCAGAGGCAAATGCGAGTATTGAGATACTGCCCAAGAGTGTGCTGCTCTCTGTGGTCAGAGGCTGCCGCTGTCACCGTGTGCTGAACCTGGGTGAGTGAGAAAAAAAGTTACGTGGTGTTTCTGAAAGTACAGGAGACCCCAGCACCTCCTCACTACCTCCCCGACTCAACTTCAATGCTCTTCCTTTGCCAAAGGCAGGCCGGATGGCACCTGTAACTGGAAAAGTTCGAGACTTAATTGATGAGCCTCGTAGTACTAGGAGATTACTCTCAAGGACAGCTGAAGACCATCAAACCTAATTGGCAGGAGGCTCCAGCCCTCTGAGGCTGCACACATTCTCTGCAAAGTAAAAAACCAAAGGCAAATGTACATACTGAGATACTGCCTGAAGGATGGCTTTCCTGTGGTATCTCCTACCTACTTACCTCTCCTCAACAGTGACCTCTTACCAGCAGGGTCCCTGAAGCACTGGACTGTCTGTTAGAAGGTGGCAGGCCCCCTGGAAAACACAAGAAACAAAGTATGTGCACAGATTCACCACAACACCTGTAGGAGACCATCTTCTTCTGTCCTGGAGTCAATGCTCACCTTGCTCACCGGTACTCACCTGGATCACCTCCCCTCTGGTGCCTAGAGCCTCCTGGGCCAAGGGCTCTGCATCTGAAAACAAAGAAAAACCAAACCAAGAAAATCCTTAACACATCAAGTAAATGTGGAGCCAAAAGCCACATCTTTGTGCTGACGTCAGGTGATGACCCACCTTCTTGCTGGGCTCCTCTGGCCTCTGTTCTGTTCAACTCTGCTTTACACCCTGTCCCTCTGTCATGGTAAAGAAACCCTAACCAAAGTCACCCAGATAGATGGGGAGAGCTGAAAGAGTCTCCCTTCTCTTTAGGCAAACCACTCAGGGTCACCGCCTGCAGCCAAAGACTGCAGCTGTAATTGCACAGAATATCTGGGTGAACGAGAGACAAACTTAAGTGGCACATCTGAAAAGTCAGTGGATGCCTTCACAGACATTTAGGGGGCTCCTGGACACTGCTTTTCACCCACACTACCTTTAAAACACCCATGGCAATTCATAAGCTGGCACCCGAGCCCTCACTCCATCTCTGGGCTGTAACCCCCCACTGACTACTTGGAAACCTGTGTGTCTGTAGCCATCTTCAACGCAGAGCAGATGCAACTCGGGACCAAATAACACTTATGAAAAAATGCCAAGCTGCAGTTGAGATGATCAGGAGATCCCAAAAGATGCAAGGCTCCTAAGGAAAAGAAAAAAAGAATACAAATTACAAAAGCACCTTACAAAACAGCACACAAAATTATTAAATTTTAAACCCCTGCATTTGAGTGTAATCCTCTTCATTGCCATACATAGCTCTGCTTCTTTGGATACCAAAGCTGATGCTTCAATAAAGCAGGAATAGCTCGAGAAGTCCCCTTCAATGAAAGAAAGGAAGGAAGAGCTCTTATGCCATTGAAGCTCAGCTGCTGGATGACTCCCCTGAGCAAAGGCTGGGGTTAATATACCCCTAGCTGTGCCCACCTCCCTTCCCATGAGGCCCCGGGGAAAGGGGGGAGCCCAATCCCAGAGGGTATAAAGGCTCTGGGAGCAGAAGCACCTGGTTTGCATCTCTGACTTAAAATCAGGATGGGTGAAGAGCCTGACAAAGAAAAGGATTCTTAATGAGAGCAGGTATTATAGTTGGTGTTGGATTTAGTATTCGAATTTGTATTTGGGATTGTAACTTGTAAGAAAATGAGAGCCATTCCCTTCAGGAAAGAAAGCCTATAGCTTTTGGGTGTCAGGTGCAGGTGGGAAAACTTTCTATACGCGTAGAAAGGGTTTTGTTAGCTTGCCGGAGCCCTGCACTGAAACTGCACCAGACTCATAAAGGCTAGAGCCTTTCTTTCCTGGGGGAAAGGGTGTCGGTTGCTTTGGGAGCCCAGCAACGAAACAGCAGGTCTAACTCCCTAAATTAACATGAATGAAGTCCTCTCCCCGCACAGCTCCTCTGCTCGAAGAGGGCAGGAATCCCCGGTGCAAAAGGTCCCCCACGGTGCCCGGGAGGTGTGTCTGGAGCCCCCCGGAGTCCCTCAGAGCTCCCCTCCCGGCCCGGGACACACGGGCTGTGTTCCTGCCCTTCCTGGCAGATGCGCCTCCCTACCTGGAAAAGCCTCGCCCGGCGCCGGGTGATGGCTGCGCGGCTGAAGTGCTGCGGGGGGTGACGCCAGGGGCTGGAGCGGCGCGATGGAGGCTAGAACGGAATGGATGGGGTTGGAGCGGGGTGGAGGGGGCTGGAGCGGTGCGGGCATGAGCGGCGCGGTGTGGCCGCGTCCTACCTGCAGGAGCTGCAGGACAAGGGTGAGCCTGGCGGTACCGGAACGAGGCGTGAGGGGACGCGGAGGGAGCCCCGGAAATGCCAAGTCCCTCCTGTGGTGCTAAATCCAACCCTAACGCTAACCCTAACCCTTCCCCGGGACTACGTCGGCAGCCAGAGATTCTGTGCTGGCCCCTTTTCCCTGGGAGGAATCTTCATTTGGATGGGTTTTAGGGCGAGGCGGGCCAGCACCGGCGGCCCGGGGCTGACCAAAGGGATCAGCAGCCCTTTGCCCGGGAGAGAAAGCCTGGGAGCTTTGGCTTTAAGGTGCAGTTGGTGGCGAAGCCTGGGCACTCTGTGGGCAGCCAGAGCTGTCTGTACTGGCCCCTTTTCCCTGGGAGGAATCCTCATTTGTATGGGTTTTGGGGCTGGGGGGGGCCGTCACCGTCGGCCCGGGACGGACCAAAGGGATCAGCAGCCCTTTGCCCAGGACAGAAAGGCTGGGAACTTTGGCTTTTGGGTGCAGTTGGTGGCGCAGCCTGGGCACTCCGTGGGCAGCCGGGGCATTCTGTGCTGGCCTCTTTTCCCTGGGAGGAATCTTCATTTGTATGGGTTTTTGGTTGGGGGAGGCCGGAACCGGTGGCCAGGGGCTGACCAAAGGGATCAGCAGCTTTTGCCCAGGACAGAAAGCCTGGGAGCTTTGGCTTTGAGGTGCAGTTGGTGGCGCAGCCTGGGTACTCGGTGGGCAGCCAGAGCTTTCGGTGCTGACCCCTTTTCCCTGGGAGGAATCTTCATTTGTATGGGTTTTGGGGCGGGGGGGACCTGCACCGATGGCCCGGGGCTGACCAAAGGGATCAGCAGCCCTTTGCCCAGGACAGAAAACCTGGGAGCTTTGACTTTGAGGTGCAGTAGGTGGCGCAGCCTGGGCACTCCTTGGGCAGCCAGAGCTTTCTGTGCTGGCCCCTTTTCCCTGGGAGGAATCTTAATATGTATGGGTTTTGGCGCGGGGGGGGCCGACACCGGCGGCCCGGGGCTGACCAAAGGGATCAGCAGCTCTTTGCCCAGGACAGCAAGCCTGGGAGCTTTGGCTTTTGGGTGCAGCTGGTGGCACAGCCTGGGCACTCGGCGGGCAGGCAGAGCTTTCTGTGCTGGCCCCTTTTCCCTGGGAGGAATCTTCATTTGGATGGGTTTTGGGGCGGGAGGGGCCGTAACCGGCGGCCAGGGGCTGACCAAAGGGATCAGCAGCCCTTTGCCCAGGACAGCAAGCCTGGGAGCTTTGACTTTGAGGTGCAGTTAGTGGCGCAGCCTGGGCTCTCCTTGGGCAGACAGAGCTTTCTGTGCTGGCCCCTTTTCCCTGGGAGGAATCTTCATTTGTATGGGTTTTGGGGCGGGGGGGCTGGCACCAGCCCCCTGGGACTGAGAAAAGGGATCGGCAGCCCTTTGACCAGGACAGAAAGCCTGGGAGCTTTTGCTTTGAGGTGCAGTTGGTGGCGCAGCCTGGGCACTGCGTGGGCTGCCGGGACTCTTTGTGCTGGCCCGTTTTCCCTGGGAGGAATCTTCATTTGGATGGGTTTTGGGGCTGGGGGGGGCCGCCACCGTCGGCCCGGGGCTGACCAAGGGGATCAGCAGCCCTTTGCCCAGGACAGAAAGCCTGGGTTTCGGCGAGGAAAGCTCTGGACACTTAATGTAAGGATCCAAAAACTCCGTTTATTGAAGATAGAAAGCAACTTAATATACCCTGTATAATAGGCTCATCCATATTACAGAGATTAGGCTCTATTGGTACTTGACTAATAGGTGATATCATCTCAACTGCCTTCCATTGTTTACACAGGTGGCTCGTTAAGCGCTTTTGTTTGTCAAATTCCAAGCTCCTGTTTTTCAGCCCAAGTTAGAATACACAAGGTCATTGCTGCTTTCTCATGGCCCTGCTATCTCAGACTTTCTCATGGACCTAGTCAGACTGCGTTTTGTACTTTAGCAGCTCATCCATAGCCTTAGCCATGTTCATATGCCCTCGTGATTCTAACCAATCATCAATACCTGGGAGCTTTGGCTTTTCAGTGCAGTTGGTGGCGCAGCCTGAGCACTCCGTGGGCAGCCAGAGCTTTCCGTGCTGGCCCGTTTTCCCTGGGAGGAATCTTCATTTGTATGGGTTTTGGGGCAAGGGGGCAGTCACCGTCAGCCCCCGGGCTGACCAAAGGGATCAGCAGCCCTTTGCCCAGGACAGAAATCCTGGGAGCTTTGGCTTTTGGGTGCAGCTGGTGGCGCAGC